AGAACAAGCAATTATCAGATTTGTGTGGAATCACAAAAGACCCCAAATAGTCAAAGCAATCCTGAGAAAAGAGAATTATACTCCAGGTATCACACTACCTGACTTCAAATTACACTAAAAAGCTATGATAATCAAAACAGCATGGTACTGGCAGAGAAACAGACATACAGATCAATGGAACAGAATAGAGAGCCCAGCTATAAAACCACATGTATAAGGACAGATAATTTTTGACAAAGGAGACAGAAATGCACAAGGGAGTAAAGATAATCTCTTTCATAAGTGGTGCTAGGAAAACTGGAAAAATACATGCAAATGAATGAAACTAGATTCCAGTTTGTCCCCATGTAAAAATGTTATAGATCAAAGATCTAAATATAAGACCCAAAACAGTAAGTACATAGAATAAAATATAGGTATCAAACTTATGGACTCTGGCTGTAGAGAACATTTTATGAACTTGACCCAAAGGCAAGAGAGTAAAGGCAAAAATAAATGAATGGGACTATATTGCACAGAAAGAAAAAAAAAAATTAACAACAAAACAAAGATGCAGCCACCTAGATGGGATATGATATTTGTAAAAGAATAGCCCCAACAAAAATTAAATTTCTAAAATATATAAAGAACTCATAAAACTCAACACCAAACAAACAATCCAATCAAAAAGTGGGAAACAGACCTGCAAATACACTCCCCCAGGCAGACATTCACAGCCAATAGATATGTGATAAGATGTTCAACCTCACTAGCAATTAGGGAAATGCAAATCAAAACTACAATGAGATACCAGCTCATACCTGTTAGAGTGGCCATTATCAACAAGTCAAGCAATAACACATATTGGAAAGGCTTTGGAAAAAAAAGTAACCTCATTCACTGTTGTGTCAATGTAGACTGATACAACCACCATGGAAAGCAGTCCAGCGATTTCTCAAAAAATTAAGATTATAGAGACCATACCATACAACAATCCCTCTCCTCAAAATCATATATTCACAAAGATATATGAACCCTTATTTTCATTCCAGCACTATTCACAGTGGCTAAGAAATGGAAACAACAAATGTATCCTGTGATAGAGGATTGAATAAAGAATATGTGGTACATATACACAATGTAATACTACTCAGCCATAAGAAAGAACAAAATACAGACAATTACATCAACATGGATAGACCTTGAGTATATTATGCTAAGTGAAAAAAATCAGTCAGCAAAAGCCAAGAACCATATGATTTCACTCATATTCTACCCAATAAAAGAGCAATATGCAAATTAAATATCACTCTGCTATACCCACAAGCCACGTCCACCAGCCAATCAGAGCGAGTATTTAAATAAACCCAACCAAGATGGCTACCAGGATGGAGGCTTGGATTTCCCTGGCAATGGAGGAAGCCAAGCTTCCCACACACCCTGGCAGGTCAAGCCTCCACTCAAGACTACAAAGTTTCAATTATAGAAGGTAAAAAAATTTAAACAGAAATGGCAGCAACCATGGAGCAAGCAGGAGGCTTGGCTCCACTCCAGGCTACAAAGTTTCAATTGTAGAAGGAAAATAAATTCCAGATACCAGGGCCTCTGCTTGAGTTGCTGGGAGGCATGGCTGGCCTGCAAACCACCACAGGCCCTTCGGTCAGGCTGCTCCACACCCCAAGGGAACCCCACACTAATATGGGACACCCTTCAGGGCAAACCAGCTGGCCCCCACCCATGCACCAGGCCTCTATCCTATTTAATAAAAGAGTAATGTGCAGATTGACCATCACTCCAATACACAATAGCTGCCCCCATGTGGTCAAAGATCCTGCCCTATGTTGACACAAGATGGCTTCCACAAGATGGCCTGCAAAGGAGGGCAGTTGGGAGGGACCAGGCCTACAAGGGAGGGCAGTTGGAGGCAATCAACCCTGCAGGGGCGGGCTCCTGGACTTGCAGAGGGAGCAGGCCAGGCTGGGGGACCCCCAGGTGCATGGATTTCATATGCTGTGCCTCTAGTAACAATATAATAAAACCAAGTACATACAATAAATATGTTGGAAGTATTCCGTTTGAATAACCCCAAAATCTCTCATAGTTTGGACAATATGTTACCCAGTCACATGCCCTTGATTGCTGGCAGCCATCTTGCTTATCTGTCACTCTGGCAAGCAGCACTGATGCTCATGCTTGCTGCTGCATTATGAATTTCTGCCTGTCTTAACTGTCCAGCAGCTCAGCCCCTCCTTAGCTCTGAGGAAACTCCTACCTTCTGAGTATTGGAGGCTGCACAGTCCACTTTATTATATTCTAGTTCAGAATATAAAATTTTCTATAAAATATAAGTCAATCAAAATATTCTTTTTTTTTAAAAAAAATATTCTTCCTATAAGTCAAAATATTCCAAAGGTATCAAATGTTAAAATCATTCTTGTACACTCTCTGATCTCTCATCATATAACTTATTTGCCTCTTCTATGCTTTTGTAGGAATAAACCATATTATATTGTTTGCAAATTTTGTTCTTTTTAAAAAATCTATCTTTATTGTTGAAAGTATTACAGATGATCCTCCTTTCTTTTCTTCATTAACCCTCCTTCACCCCACACCCACCCTTCCCAGGCCTTCATCACACTATTGTCTGTGCTCATGGGCTATGCATATATTATACTACTGTGTGTATAAGTTCCAAATGGTTAACTTCTTTCCCCTGCCTTCTCTCTGGGATTTGTCACTCTGTTCCATGCTTCTATGTCTCTGGATATATTTTATTCATTGTTAGATTCCACATTTGAGTGAGATTATGTGATGCTTATCTTTCTCTGACTGGCTTTTTTCACTTAGCATAATACTCTCTAGGTCCCACCATGCTGCCTCAAAGGGTAAGAGATTTTTTTACAGCTGCATAGTATTCCATGATGTAAATGTACCACAGCTTTTTTTTTTTTTTTTTAATCCATTCATCTACTGATAGGTACATGAGCTGTTTACAGATCTTATATATTTTAAATTGTGCTGTTCTGAATATAGGAATGCATACATTCTTTCTTACTGGTGTTTCTGGTTTCTTAGGTTATATTCCTAGAAGTGGGATTACTGGGTCAAATGGAAGTTCCATTTTTAATTTTTTGAGAAAACTGCATACTGTTTTCCTTAGTGGCCACACTAGTCTGCATTCCCACCATCAATTGTACTAGGGTTCCTTTTTCTCCCCAACCTCACCAGCACTTGTCATTCGTTGATTTGTTGATGACAGTCATTCAGACACATGTGAGGTGATAACCTCATTGTCCTTTTAATTTGCATCCCTCTGATAATTAGTGACTTTGAGCATTTTTTCATATGTCTCTTGGCAATCTGTATGTCCACTTTGGAAAAGCGTCTATTTAGGTCCTTTGTCCATGTTTTAATTGGATTGTTTTTCTTCATTTAGTTAAGTTGTATGTGTTTCTTATATATTTTGGAAATTAATCCCTTATCAGATGTATCATTACCAAATATGTTCTCCCATACAATGGGTTCCCTTTTTGTTTCATTGAGGGTTTCTTTTGCTGTGCTGAAGGTCTTTATTTTGATGCAGTGCCATTTGTTTATTTTCTCCTTCGTTTCCCTTGCCCTATGAGATGTATTGTCAAACATATTATGAGAGATGTCTGAGATTTTGCTTTCTATGGTGTTTCAAGATTTTTATGGTTTCATGACTTACATTTAAAGAATTGAAAACAAATTTTGGTGGTACATTTTGTTGAATTATTTAATTAAAGATTTCCAATCAGTTTTGAATAAAGTACAACCAATTTATAAAGGATTTGTTTACAAAATACTCAATATCATGTAGGGCACTTAAGTTGATTTCACAGCAATCCTTCATAGTAAAGGTTCAAACTGTTCTGAAATATCTTTTGTAATAAGCAGCAAAGATAGAAAACTCGGAGAAAACAGGGTTACTGTCTGTTTTGAATTTCACATCCTCCTTATGTCTCATGGGTTTGCTCCAGGTATCACAGTTTCCTGACACATCCTCAAAAATGTGCACCTAGGTGAACTGGTGTTTCTACATTGTTGCAGTCCCACTGAGTGTGGGTATGTAGGAGTGCACCGTGGGATGGAAAAACGTCCTGTCCAGTGTGGGTCCCATTTTACACCCTGAGATGCCAGACTAGGCTCAAGACACCTACCACCTTAGATCACCCACTATTCTGAACTGAAACAAGCAGGTTGGAAAATATAATTACCTTACCTTTAAAAATTAATCTTTCTTCAGTGTATGTTGGCTCATATTTATTTTACTGTTTAACATTAGATGTGCTTTGGGTTTTACTTAGAGTTTGATGGTGTTTTTATGACCAAAAATATGCCTTAAGAACTTAACTCCTGTCAGCACCCAAGACCAAAAAGAATAAACCTGAGCTAGGAAGCTAAATTAGAGCTTCCAATAACATTGTGTGTGGGAGTGCACTGTGGGATGGAAAACATTATATACTAGAGGCCCAGTGCATGAAATTCGTGCATGGGAGAGGTGTCCCTCAGCCCAGCCTGCACCCTCTCCAATCTGGGACCCCTCAAAGGATGTCTGACTGCCCATTTAGACCCAATCCCAAGGGTCTAAACTGATCCTAACAGGCAGTCAGACATCCTTCTCATAATCCAGGACTGCTGACTCCCAACTGCTCCCCTGCCTGCCTTCCTGATTGCCACTAACTGCTTTTGCCTTCCAGCCTGATCACCCCTAACCACTCTCATGCCAGAGTGATTGATGTCTAACTGCTCCCCTGCCAGCCTGTTTGCCCCCAACTTCCCTCCTCTGCTGGCCTGGTCACCCCTAACTGCTATCCCCTGCAGGGTTGATTGCCCCCAACTGCCCTCCCTTGCAGGCCTGGTGCCTCCCAACTGCCCTTCCCTGCTGGCCATCTTGTGGTGGCCATCTTGTGTCCACATGGGGGCAGGATCTTTGACCACATGGGAGCAGCTATTTTGTATGTTGGAGTGATGGTCAATTTGTATATTATTCATTTGCCCTGAAGGGTGTCCTGGATCAGGGTGAGGGTTCACTTAGGGTGTGGGGCCACCTGGACGAGGGGCCTGTGATGATTTGCAGGCTGGCCATGCCTCCATTGGGTGAGGGTCCCAGCTGGGGGGCCATGGCCAGCCTGGGTCAGGGGCTAATGGCTGTTTGGAGGCTGACCACACACCCCAGCAAAGACTCTTACTCCATGGGGGTGTGACCAGCCTGGGTAAAGGGCTGAGGGCCATTTTCAGGGTGGCCACAGCTCCTTCAGGGTGGGGGATCCCACTGGGGTGCTTAGCCAGCCTGGGTGAGAGGCTGAGGGCCATTTTCAGCCTGGCCCTCTCCCCTAGCCCCCAGCAACCCAGGCTCTCAGGCTCTCCTTTTTTTTTTTTCCCTTTTTTCTTTTCTTTTTTTTTTTTTCTTTTTTTTTCAAAACCTCTTTGAGCAGAGGCCAGGGCCACCTGGAAGCAGGTATCTGGGATTTATTTATCTTCTATAATTAAAACTTTATAGCCTTGAGCTGAGGCCAGGACAGGTGTGAAGCTTGGCTTTTTCCATCACCGGGGGAAACCCAATCCTCCTGCTCACTCCAACTCTGTGGCTGCCACCATCTTTGTTGGGTTAATTTGCTTATTTGGTCCTGATTGTCTGGCAGGCATAGGGGAGATATGGTCAATTTGCATCTTTCTCTTTTATTAGTATAGATATGAAGAACTTAACTAAGAAGAGTTCCCACATAATTCAGTATTGATTTAAACTTACCATGATACATGCATCCTAATTGCATGAATGTCCCCTTTGCCTCTGCTCTAGAGTTTGTGTTTGATGGTGATAAGGTACAACATCACCTTAAAAGCAGCTGCAAAATGCTTGTGGTTAACCTTTACTCCCAACTCCAAGCAGAAGGGGTCACTGAGACTAATGGTAATGGTCTCCACAGCCTGTGAGCTCTCGGTTTTGAGACAGCTGGAGAGTTTTTAAGGACATAATACTCCCCAAAAGTACGCCTGCAAAGTGCCAGATTATAGCAGGATATCTAAACTGCTACTTATGTTAGTCTGTGAAGTAATCGCCAATCCGATCTCATAAAGGGAGCTCTTTTAAAGGGGACTGCATATAGCAAACAAGAATCATGTGCGTGCCCTAGCCAGTTTGGCTTGGTGGATAGAGAATCAGCCTGAGGACTAAAGGGTCCCAGGTTTGATTCCTTTTAAGGGCACATGCCCAGGTTTCAGGCTTAATCCCAAGTGGGGGATGTGCAGGAAGCAGCCAATTAATTATTCTCTCTCATCATTGATGTTTCTATCTCTCTGTTCCTCATCCTTCCTCTCTGAAATCAATAAAAACAAATTTAAAAAAAAAGAATCATGGGTGATCCTGAGAATTATCTGCAAGTACTGGGCACTCTGTAAGTTTGTTAAACTGATTACATGGAGAGAAAGGCCATACTGTATGATGATGTAGCATGCACAGTTGTGTGGATTGTGAGGGTGTGAGGGACACAAACCCAGTAACTATGGTCAACAAAATGGAAATGGTCCTGAGGAAGAAGGAAATGTCAATAAAATAAAAAAGACTGGGGGGAAAATAGAGCACAGTTATGGAGATGAACAGTAAGATATTTAAAAAAGAACAATATATCAAGAAAAGAAATGTAGGAATGATTAAAATGGTGCTCATATGATTTTAAATCTAGGAAAGGCAATGGAAATGGCCAAGTGAAAAGGTGAGTTTGAGGTCATAGTGAACGCAACCATTTTCTAGAGCATAATGTCCATTAGAGGCCAATAACCTGAGCCCTCATTTCCCAATGACTGGCCTCAGCCTTGGAGTCAGGCTTCTCTCCCACTTCAATAGACAGAATTAAGGCTCTGACCTCCTTTACTCTTTTATCAAGGGGGAAAATCCCACCCCAACACTGTAATCACTAAATATTTACCTATCCATGATCAAAAAAGAAAAAGAAGCAGCTTTGTTAGATGGACCATCAAAATGATAACTAAGAGCTGAATATGGCCAGAGTAATTACTACAATTCAGTGCACTCCCTACAGAGTTAAGAAAATGTCTGCAGCCCCATTATAAATCTTCTTATTGTTTCAGAGCCTGGACTAACAGATCTACTCTGTGCTATTCTGCAGCTCCAAGTAAATTGCATTTGGCACATTTTAGAATAAATTATGAATTCATTTCAAAGTTCCTGAAATGTAAGAGGGTGGTGATTGCGGTTTGGCGATAGATAGATCTGAATTACAAGGTGTTTGCCATCTCTGTATTTGTTGCTTCTTAATGTCACAGATGGCCTTTTACTTTTAAATAAGCACTTGGAAGCAGCTTAAGAGACTATAACTCACTGTACTTCATAGAAATACCATCCTGGCCAGAGGCAGGACAAGTTCTTTCCTACTTCTGACCTTCAGATTCTCTCCAATTGTTATTATATCTTGAAAGAATTTTATAAACCTAAAACACATAGCTAGCTCTTTACTGATATCTGATATCTAATTGGAAATTAATAGACAACTAAAAGAGTTCACAGTAAATATGATTTATCCACAGTGGCTGTGCACTTTCTCTAAATTAATTGATCGAACAATCAACATATCACATTTTTGGCAATCCTGATCAACCTGAGCCACAGGATGATTTTTCCAGCCCTTCACTTTGCTGAACTGATGAATTGCATATATTGTGATCAAAGTCAATGTAATGAGAATCTGAGAAGATTCTATTTAGCATAATTAATTTTAGTTTGTTTTGTATCTAATTTTGTTTTTTCACAAAACGGAATCTGTTGTTTGTGGCAACTGTTGTCAAAATTTCTGCTGCTAACGTTGGTAAGAGAAGCCCTGTGAAACGAACCAACATTCTGCCAGTGAGCAAAGGGGAGAGACTGTGAGTGTGCAGGATTAGAGCATACGTTTACTTCCATTTCAGAGAGATTTCGCTTATGACTTCATACCCTGTAAATTACTTTCACTCGATAGTTGAGACTCAGAAAATCTGGAAACTTTAATAAACTTCCCCAACCTTCACATTGCCCATTTAATATACTCTACATGTGGCAAACCCAGCCACCATCTCAGTATGACTCAATACATTAGAAAATGTATTAGTATTCTGTTGATTTATTTTGCTAGAACTTATGTAGTAACATATTTTAGAAAATAAGATTTCATGCTCTTCATCATTAATTTCAGTTATTTTATAATTATTCCACCCCTCAAAAAATTTTAAGGAATTATGATATTGAGATTTATGAACAATGTTTACTTCAAACTATCAGATATTTGTTAAAGAAATGCTGTTCCTTATCTAGTCATGCTCTGTGATTTATTTATTTTTTAAAGGTATTTTTTTTAATATATTTTATTGATTTTTTACAGAGAGAAAGGGAGAGAGATAGAGAGCTAGAAATGTCGATGAGAGAGAAACATCGACCAGCTGCCTCTTGCACACCCCCTACTGGGGATGTGCCCACAACCAATCTACATGCCCTTGACCAGAATCGAACCTGGGACCTTCCAGTCACCAGACCGAGGCTCTACCACTGAGCCAAACCGTTTCAGCAGGTATTTTTATTTATTTCAGAGAGGAAGAGAGAGGGAGAGGATGATAGAAACATCAATGATGAGAAAGAATCATTGATTGGCTGCCTTCCTATTGGGGATCAAGCCCACAACCCAGCATGCGCCATTGACTGTATTCAAACCCAGGACCCTTCAGTCTGCAGGCCAATGCTCTATCCACTGAGCCAAGCCAGCTAGGGCACTCTGAAATTTATTTTGTGCAGCATTTGCCATATAAAGCATCATGCAATTTCCCAGACATGGTGATAAATGAAAGATTACTCATCACTTTGGTTGATAATCACATTGTCTTTATGTAGGTTTAAAAAAAAAAAAAGACAAGACAAAAGCACAGGCAGAGAGAAAAGAGAACACTTGCAATACTGGAGGGAAAGAAAAAAAAAAAAACAGTGTAAGAAAGAATTACAAATCAGACCTTTAGTCCCTGTAAAGGAAAATATTCCTCTTGATTTCCCTTTAGGTTCACTGCTGCCACACTTTACTTCTGACCCAAGATGTGCGGGTTTTCCAAACATCAAGCAATCAATCTTTTGACCCCATCTGGGCATCTTACATCTTAATTCTGACATTATAAGACTGCCCCCCACCCAAATTCACACACCAATTATAAGTCTGAGGTTGTCACCTGTATTTCTGACCAACTGCCTATAAATTAGGGTTTCCATGGCCCCATCTTTGATTTCAACAATTTGTTAGAATGGCTCACAAAACTCATGCAAAAACTTATTTACATTTACCTTTTTACTATAATTAAAGAAAATAATAAAATATATAAATTAATAGCCAGATGAAGAGATATATAAGGTGAGTGTAGAAAAGTCCCAATTGCTGGAACTTGTACAGTTGAAGCTTTGATCAATTATTAACCCAATTTCCAGCCACTCATTTCTCTCTGGAAAATGAGGCTAAAAATTCCAAGCTTCTAATCAGGGCTTGGTCTTTCTGGTGACCAGCCTTCATTAAGAGTCTTCCCTTTAGAACAAAGGATACAGCTATCACCTAGGACATGTCAAGAGATTCAGAAGGTCTGTGTCAGGAATTAGGGTCAAAGACAAATATTAGCACACTGATGTTCCTTGTGTTCTTCTTACCTAAGAAATTACAGGGTCTAGTAGCTCTATCTTGGGACCAGGGGCAGAGAGCAATATATATTTCATAGTTCATTCCATAGTCTCTGGTCTTGGAATCCTCATAGCAAAATGATGTTCAACTCAAAATATGCTGGCGTATAACTAAAACTCAAGTCACTAACAACTATCCAGTCCATCATTGTCTTAACAGAGGCTCAACTCATGAAATTCATACAAGAGTAGGCCTTCTGCAGAGGTGTGGCACCAAGATTGGCCCAAGCCTCAACTCTGTGGCTGCCTCTGTGGAAGAGGCAACACTAGAACCAGGATTGCGCAGCCTCCTCTCTCACTGCCTCTGTGGAAGGGGCCATGGCTTGAAGGACCTGCCTGCTTGAAGGACCCTCCCACACCAACTCTGCAAAAGTGGCCATGGCCCTGCCCTCTCACGCCACCCTACCCTCTCCTGCAGCCCCTGGATCTCCCAGGGTCCTGGCCTCTCCTGCAGCGCCAGGCTCTCATGGCCTCTGTGAAAGGGGCCACAACACTGAACCAGCCTGTGCGGCCGCCTCTCCTGCACCACTGGGCCTCAGCATTTATAACTGTGTGGCTTTGTCTAGAAGGATGTCCAGAAGACAGAAGACATCCAGTCTAATTAGCATATTACCCTTTTATTAGTATAGATGAGAATTTCTCCCAGGGTGAGGCCACTCGGTTTATTAAGCTCCTATTTGATGCTATTGTCTCAGCAAATATATGGCTTCACCCTTTCAGACTAAAAGACTAGCTAAAAGACAGTATAATCTCTTTCTCTGAACCTTTTTTGAAGCGTTAATGTAATATTGGATTCCCCCACACACATTTAATAACTTATTTGTTTATGTCTTTACCCTCAGCTACTATTCTTTCTTCTCTTCCTTTATATCAAGATGTACCCACTTTTGGAAGGAGTATTGGGTTTGGTTACTGTGCTGGCCTAGATTTCAGGCAACAATGCAAGACTAGCAAGTGTCTGCCCGAGGTTCACTCCTTTCAGATGGGGTGGGTTACACAGGTACAAAACTAGTGAGCATTTTTTATCATCAGGTTATAGAGCTGCATTCTCTGTTAACCCTAAATATTTGGTTTTGTGTTTTTTTCCAGATGGGGTGAGGATATAACCCACCTTATCAGGCTCTTAGGAATTCTACCATAAAAGTTTAGAGGTACAATTTCTTACTTAGAAAGTGTCCCTACTCCCAGTATAGTAGCAGCAGCCCTGGTCCTATGACCATGACATCATTTAGAAGAAAAAAAACAAACAAAACAGTGATATGTGGAAAAAAGAAAAAAATGTATAGTAATTTTCATACCAGCATCTCCTTGAGAACTGCATGGTTATGCCAGTATCCTTCCCCATCTCTCTGCCCCAACTCCACCAGAAAAGCAGAGGAATATCCAGTGGGCACCCCTGACCCTCCCACATGCTGACTGCTAAGTATATGCACACACTTTAGAAGAATATAAGGAATATAAGTCAGTGCTTCATGACTTTACCCCTCCCTCTCTGTCCTGCATTTCAGACAACCAATGGTGCAATGGCCAGTTCCAGTTCTCTATCAAGCCCCTCTTCCAGCCTCTGAGATGAACGTCTCTCTGCACGTTGTTGGACATTAAGTGTGTTTCTTGGTCTGCCATGATGGTCAGAAAGTTGGAGACATAACTTTGTTCTTTTTCAAGATTGTTGGGCTATTAAGGATCCCTTGTCAATACATGTAAATTTTAGGATGGGTCTTTTCTATACCTGCAGATATGCCATTGGGATTTTAATAGAAATTACATTGTATTTATAGATAACTTTGGGTAATATTCACATCTTAAAAATGTACTCTTGAATTTGGTTTGCTAATATTTTATTGAAGATTTTTGACTCAATATTCATCATATATATCAGGTTTTTATTTAATTTTATTGTAGTGTTTTTGTCTGGCTAAGATAATGCTGGCCTCAAATAATGAGTTTGGGAGTATGTTCATATCTCTAATATTTTGGAAGAGTTTGAAGAGAATTAGTGTTAACTCTAAATGTTTGGTAGAACTCACTTAAAATGCCATCTTGTCCTGGGCTTTCTTATACTTTTTAAAAAATCTTTTCTCATTGATTTCAGAGAGGAAGAGAGAGGGAGAGATAGAAATATTAATGATGAGAGAGAATCATTGATAAGCTGTCTCCTGCATGTCCCCTTCTGGGAATCAAGGCTGCAACCTGGGCCATGTGCTAGAACCTGGAATCAAACCTGTGACCTCCTGGTTCATAGGTTGATGCTCAACCACTAAGCCACAGCAGCCAAGGCCTGGGCTTTACTTCATCAGAATGTTTTAATTACTTCAGAGTGATAGTTCTGTTCAGAATACCTATTTATTGATGATCCAGATTTGGTAGTCTGTGTCTTTCTATAGTTTATCTATTTCTTCTAGGTTATCAATTTGCTGACATGCAATTATTCATGTATTCTCTTGTAATTCTTTTTATGTCTGTGGCACCAGTTGTTTTTTTTTATATATATATATATTTTATTGATTTTTTACAGAGAAGAAGAGAGAGGGATAGAGAGTTAGAAACATCAATGAGAGAGAATCATCGATCAGCTACCTCTTGCACACCCCCAGGAGGGATGTGCCCACAACCAAGGTACATGCTCTGGAACAGAATCGAACCTAGGACCTTTCAGTCGACAGACCTACACTCTATCCACTGAGCCAAACCATTTTTGGCTATGTCACCAGTTTTATCCTCCCTGCTTTCTTACTTCAGTTATTTGAGCCTTCTTTCTGTATTTTAGTTAATCTAGGTAAAGGTTTGTCAACACTGTTGATCTTTTCCAAAAAATAACTCAGTTTTACTGATTTTTTTCTATTGTTCTTTTTATTTTATAATTGTTTATATTTGATCTAGTCTTTCTTTGTTATTTCATTTCTTCTTCTAGTTTTAAATTTACTTTGTTCTTCTAATTCCTTGAGATATAAAATTAAGTTGTTAATTTGAAATACTTATTTTAATTTTATTTATTATTTAAAGTTTTACAAATAGCCCCTCTTTCCCCCATTGACCCTCTCCACCCCACTCCTATACCCAGGCCTTCCCCTCTCTATTGTCCGTCCACAGGCTATGCATATATGCCTATAATTTCATTGGTTTTTATCTTGTAAATTTTCTCTCAATGCTTTTTTTATTGCACCCCATAAGTCTTGTTATGTTGGGTTTATATTTTCATTTGTAATAAAATATTTTCTAATTTCTTTTGTACTTTATTCTTTATGGTTGCTTATTTAAGAGTGTGTAGTTTAATTTCAATGTATTTGTGTATTTACTAGTTTTCTTTCTGCTACTGATATCTAGTTTAATTCTATTGTGATCAGAAATAAATACTTTATATGAGTTTAATCTTTTTAAATTAGTTGAGACTTGTTTAATGGCCTAACATGTTGTCTACCCTGCTGAGTGCTCCATGTGTGCTTGAGAAGAATATCTATTCTGTTGTTTTTGGGTCGAGTCCTCCATAGATGTTTGTTAGGTTCAATTAGTCTATAGTACTGTTGTTTGTCTTTTGTTTCATTACTAGAGGCCCAATGCATGAAATTCATGCAAGAGTAGGCTTTCCTTCCCCTGGCTCCTGGCACCAGCTCCCTCTGGCACCTGGAACCTGGGCTTCTCTCCGGGACCCGTGATTCTCTCCGTCCACCAGCAGGCACCTGGGACCCAGGCTGGCTTCCCTCTGGCCCCTGGCAGGCCCTTGGGACCTGGGCTTCCCTCGCAGCCCCTTACAGCCCAGTCTTTGTCCAGAAAGACTTCCAGTCTAATTAGCATGTTATGCTTTTATTATTATAGATTAATCTTCTCTCTGGTTGTTCTATTCATTATTCCTAGTTTTGTGTTAACATCTACTACTATTATAATGCTGTTGTCTATTTCTCTCTCAATTGTATCAACGTTTGCTTTATATATTTAAAATCTCTAATAGTTGGTGCATAAATATTCTGCCAAATGAAGTTATATTTCTAGGCATCCTGGACCTAATTGCTCTTAATCCAATCATCCATAAAGTGAAAAATATAGATTAATTACAAAGAAAGAAAAAGAGAGAGAGAGAGAGAGAGAGAGAGAGAGAGAGAGAGAGAGAGAGAGAGGAAGAAAGAAAGGAAAGAAGAAGAAAGAAATAGAAATAAACCTGTGCAGCAGAAATAATTTGTGGAAGTCAAGAATTTATGATGCTTTTCTCTAAAGCATATGCCAATGCTAAAATGAATCCTTAAGAGGTTTAGCAGCTAAGCAGAGTTTCAAACTTCAGGGGTAAAAATCAGAATTCAGGATGTGCCAAATAGGAAGGACTATTTCAATATCCCAGGCTTCCAGTTGGGACAATGAAAGACTACTTCCTAGCAGTGAAAGAGCCAGAAATAAATCAGGACTTCCAGAGACCAGATGATACCTAACTTACCTTAGGCCTTAAGTTGATTAAGATGATTTATGATTTCTATATTTATAACCTAAGTGAATGCTGGAGGCAAAAGTAAAACTTTCTAAAGGAAAGTGTTATTCAGTGGTACAAATGTCTCTATGGTTTTCACACAAGATCTAGCTTTCAATCACTCTAGTTATAGGCCATATCAAGATTGATGGATTATAAAATGAAAAATTACTTCTCATGAAAGTTTTCAAAATTTAGCCATCAGTTTTAACTCTTAACAATCAACTAATTAATCTTTCTTGTCAATCCAGGAAATTAAAGTCAGAGATTTGAGAGGGAAAACAGGTGTTTTTGTGACCATTGACAACTTATAATATTGCAATAAAATAAGATCAAAGACTTAGTACATAGTTCTACATGTAGGTTTGCCAGATAAAATAAACAATATACAGAAATTTTGATTTTCAGATAAACAGCACTTTTTTGTTTTGATAAAAGTGTATCTCTAATATAACATGGAATAAATACACTAAAATACATTTATTATTCATCTAAAGTTCAAATTTAGCTATGTGTCCATATTTTTATTTGCTATATGTGTTACCCCTACCTATGTAATAATAATCAAGCATGGAATTGAAGTAATAAAACTCATAGTTTATTGCTGCTCAACCAAAGAGGAGAAATGTTATTTTTTGCTTAATCATTATACAAACAATGTATTTCCTCCCAGAACACATTTTACTCACAGGTTGAATTGTCTAAGAAGCAAATGATTAAACTGACTGGTTTTAGATATTCTAGTGCATTGCTACTACTCAAAAATGTTCTGCAGACCAATGCCAAACCTTGAGTAGTTTGTCACTGTCAACTGGGTTCATAATTGTGATAGGGCCACGATGTAATCCAACTGCATCATAAGGCACATTAATTACCTACCTGGCATTTTTAATAATGATAACTCCTTGATTAAGGAGGTAGTGTGTTGATTGCAATTCTGTTTCAAGCTCTGTATCTACACATTAACCAGGATCAAAGATTTCAATGATTGGCTGATAGGCATGGTTACTTAGAGGAACCCAAAGGTGAGTTTTCTTTGTAAACAATTCTGCTTTGTTATAAGTTATGTATATTCTATGGTTGGATTCCATTAATAAAGCTTTATATACAAAGATATATATCTTTAACAGTTAATATTTTAAAACATTGTACTTAAATCTAGCGTAGATCATGAAAATGTTATATCTAGGATCACAAGTATGCATAAGATGGAACAGAAAAATTTCAGTCAACAAGTTCATTGTGTAGATTCTTGTTCTAATATTGTTAAAATAACCATATACTCCATTAAATGAAGTCCTGTAAGTGCCTTTCAGGATATGAAAATGTTGATGAAATTTTAAAATATTATCATAAGAATTGAAACTTATTGAGCACTTATTAACTATCAGAAAATGTTTAAAGTGCTTTACTCAGTTAATTTATTAAATCTATTAGAAATATAATCATCCTGTTTTCACACATAGTCAGCAAATTAAAACACACTGTTCCTTATTAAAAATTTTAAGAATCATATTAAATTTAGAATTTGATTCAAATGAAATCTATTGGAAACATGACTCTAAGGATTGAATGTCCTTTGCTTTGTTCCCAACTCTTGTTTAGTTCTGACATTAACCAGAAAACAACCTAACTATAACAAATGGTTACCCAGTTACGTAAATTATACTATATAACAATTACATATTGGTAACAACTTTATCAAGAATAGTGTAACCTCAATTGTGGAAGGCTTATACATTGTTACTTTAGGAGATGAAATGACAGGAATGAGGGATTCATTTGAAATAATAGAAAAAGATGATACATTTGAGTAACAATTGGAAAAACCAGATGACTAAATCCTCAGGCTATAGTTCTCTAAATTATGACTAAGTGTGTGCACACACTTGGACAAGGTACATTTGTGAGCAGGAAAACCAGACAACATGGGAGACTGGCCCAAGGAAGACAGTTAGAAACAGAATCAAACCCATGTAAAAGAAGGGCTTAAACATGGCCCAAAAATAATTGGAGACTAAGTAAAATGATGAAAAGAAAGGGGAAGCAAGGTACTACAGAATCTGAAGTGAAAGACTGTCTTAAATAAACCAATGATTCAAAAAATACTTTAAAAAGTTATATTTGAACAAAAGTAGTAAAGATGGGATTTTTTCCATGGTTAGAAGTCTGATTGATGATTAAAAAACACACAACTTATTTGTTGCTAGCTTCAATACTGAGAAAAATTATTTTGAGATGGAAGAGAATGAAACAATCACATATACATGAGAATTGAAGTATTAGCTAAATGTGTGTATGTGCATGTGTGGGTGAATGTGTGTACACCTAGTAACACAATGACTTTCTGTTCATGCTAAATATGAATTACACACCAGTCACTGAGGAAACTGAATGAAATCACCCAGTCTTTATCAATGATCTCTAGTGAAGGGTAAAGAACTGTAAAGGTGAGCATAACTATCACTAAGCGGGCTTTTGCCTAGGACATTTTCTGAGCATGTAGAAAAAGAAAAATATCACTGAGATCTAGGACAAGTCATGTCATACTAACTACATTTCATTATAACAGAATTTCCAAACCAGTGGGTTGCAGAAATGCTAAGGGCATATTTCTTCCAGTTATAGGCACCACAGAAGTGTTACCAGACAGGAGAGCCCCTGAGTCAATGGGAAAGGCTGTTTTCAACCTCGAACTTGAGCTTCTCATGTAAATGAACTTATACTATAGACTTTGGTTGCTTTGTGAAAAGCCAATTTATTAAATTAATCAAAGCAAGCACCTTTTCTGAAAAAGCAAAGCAAGCAAACAAACTTATACATCTGGCTTAGGAAGTGCAGATGGACTCTCAGCCAATCTGAAGAGCTGGATGGGTGGGGGACCCAGGCGTTATATACTCTCTTTTCTATAGGTTTAAAATTCCTTTGCTGACTATTTTGGTACTGATTAATTCTCAATGTGCCTTTTTTTACTTTGTCGCGGCCTTCCCAGAATTCATGAGCAGCACCTGGCAACTTTATCTTGCCAAGCCTTGAGACTGCTGGCTTCTCTGCTTAGGGAGTAAACTGCCTGTTTTTCCTTTCTCCTTTCCCCTTCACTTTCTGCATTCTCTGCTTAGGGAGTTTTTTGTTTTTTGTTTTTGTTTT